TTCCCTAAATCTAAACAAAGTGCTAATAGCATAAAGTGAAATGTAAGCTAAATAAAGTTTAAATAAAATTGTGCAATTCCCATAATCACACAGTAAGCATAGGCTTTATGAATATAAAGTGTCAATAATGTACAATTTCCACTCTCCAAATGCTCAATATTTACAATTTTTATCTAGGTAAGTTTAATGTATCATGACATGCTTGCGTAATGTAGCCATTATATTGACATGACAGGCTTGCGTAATGACGTGAATAGCGTGATGACGCGTTTCGCTGCTATAGCTCACATATAAATCCACCCAAATGGACGTGCATAATTAAAAGTCCGATTTTTTTATTGCTCTGATTAGGTAGTTCTTAAAACCATTTATTCAAAGGCAAACTTTTATTGCAAACTTGGGCACTTACAACTGAAAAGTAGTCCATACATGAAACTTGTCACATTCCAGACAGAATGTTATATAAAGCTTGTATACATTTAAAAACATGTATATGCAAGTTTATAAAGGTCTCATTGTAACATCTATAATTTAAACCTGAGTATAAAACATGGTACTACATTATACTGGGTAAAATGAGAAACAGTATATAGAAACATAAAACGTAAATAAAGTATATAAAAAGACCATAAGAGGAATTTTTACCTCTTGTATTTGTCTGTGTATATTGTACGTTCTCCACTAATTGTACAGCGCTGTGGAAACTGTTGGCGCTTTATAAATACTAGTAATAAATAAATAAAATATATATTGATCAATAATCAAAACATTGTTTTAAAACCTATTTGCATTAATACAAATATTCTGCTTATAAAGGAGGGAAATAAAAGTTAAAATAGGCAATACAATTTTCTAAAAGTTATATAGCTCAAATTCTATTTGTCCAAATGCTTCTAAAGTTTTTAATCTATGGACCCACTTGATCTCTTCTTTCCCTATGTTCAAGAGAAGGTTACCTCGTCGCCACGATTTTTTGACTATTTGAATAACCAGAAAAATAACCACTTAGGGACCTCATTGTGACACTTTTTAAAATGTGCAGAGACACTATGTTGCTCGTAAACTTTTACAAAATAATTTATGTTCATATATCATCGAGCATCAAGCACACCAGGGGGAGGACAGCCAGTCAGTCCAGCACACAACACACCGGGCCTTGCAAAGCAAATGCTGAAGCATGCAAATTAGAATTCAAAGTGCATTTCAACTTTAAGGCCAGAGCAGTCAAACGGAAATCATAACTGACGTTGAGAATTTTTCTAAGTCAGCTATTTTGACCTTAAATTTGAAATCAGTTGTTTAAAGGGCCAGTTTTACAGCCACATCTGCAAGAAACCCCATTTAATTTGAAGACTGCAGTCTAAAGGGCCAGTTTTACACCCACCCCTGCAAGAAGCCCCATTTAATTTGAAGACTGCAGTTTAACCCCTTAAGGACCAAACTTCTGGAATAAAATGGAATCATGACATGTCACACATGTCATGTGTCCTTAAGGGGTTAAAGGTACAGACTGCGAATCAGATGCTATGTTACCAGATTTCCTTCATCTTAGTTACTACATTATTAATTTACTATAACAATGTTACTATTTGTACCTGTAGTTTACTACTGTATAAGTTTGTACTTGCAGCCACATGTAATTATTAATAATCTGGCTGTTAGTATTCTGGTTGGCAAATATTGTAATTCTATCAGACAAATGGCAGGTCTGCTTAACCATTAACCCCTTCCTCCCCCAATGCCACTCCTACCAATAAATTCCTTTAAATAACGGTGTTTCTCTTCTCTTTAGGGCCAGTTTTACATCCACCCCTGCATGAAGCCCCATTTAATTTTTGCCAAAGTTAGCGTTCATAATTGTTTTTTGCATTTTTAACACACAAACAAATATAAATGCTAACTTTGGCCAGTGTTTGTGACTAAGTGGCTACTAAAAAGACTGGACATACCCCATATTTAATACCCTGAGTTGTCTACTTTAAAAAAATATGTACATTTGAGGTGTAATTCAGAGATTTATGACAGATAACAGTGTTACAATGTCACTATTGATACATTTTAAAAATATATATTTTGAAACAGCAATGTCCTACTTGTACTTATGGTCCTATAACTTGCAAAAAAAACAAAACATGTTAACATTGGTATTGGTATTTCTAAACTTAGGACAAAATTTAGAATACTTTTTAGCATCAGTGTTTTTTTGGCGGTTGTAGATACTTAACAGATTTTGGGGATCAAAGTTAGAAAAAGGTTTTTTTTTTAATTTTTCATCATATGTTATAATACTTTTTTATAGTAAATTATATGATATGATGAAAATAATGGTATCTTTAGAAAGACCATTTAATGCCAAGAAAAACTGTATATAATATGTGTGGGTACAGTAAATGAGTGAGAGGAAAATTACAGCTAAACACAAACACTGCAGAAATGTAAAAGCAATCCTGGTCCTTAATGGTAAGAAAATTGAAAAATGGTCTGGTCACTAAGGGGTTAAGAAATGTTGGCTAATGGGACTGAAATGGTGAATGTATTTTGTTGCACAGCTGTAAAAAACAAAAGGTGTTATCTTGTTGATTTTGAAGTTCTGTTAGTGTGTTCTTCACTTTGGCCGAGATCAAACTTGATGATATCAGCCAATCCATGCTTTCTAATAAGAAAACATTTGGAAGCTATTGTGCATGTGTGGCAGAAAGCTGCGCGACCAATCAGCATCTCCATGGGGAGCGTTCAGCGCCTCCATGCAGACCCAATTTAATACATTGCCTTGTCCCCCCATTCGAATACATTTCCCCAAATCCAATCAAATACACCACCCCTTAATCTAATACACAGCCCCTCCTCCCTTTACTCTAATTTAATACACTGCCCTCCCCCCAATTTAATACACTGCCCCCTCCCCTAATTTAACACACTGCCATACCCCCAATTTAACACACTGCCCCTGCTCTCACCATTCCAATACACCTCCCCCACTCCCACCACTCAGATTTAATACAATGCCCCCTACCTCCCCTAATTTAATACACTGCCCTCCCCCTAATTTAACACACTGCCCCCTCCCACCACTCTTATACACTGTGCCCTCCCCAAATATAATACACTGCTCCACCCAAAAAAATGAATACACTTCATACTCCCTCCTCCAATTTAATACACTGGCCCCAACCCTTCCCAAATTAATACAGTGCCCATACCCCTCCCCCTCCCCCCAATTTAATACACTGGTTTCAACCCTTACCAAATAAATACAGTGCCCACTCCCCCCCCCCCATTTAATACACTGGTTTCAACCCTTACCAAATAAATACAGTGCCCCTGCCACCCTCAAATTAATACACTGCCCCCTGCCCTCAAATTAATACACTGCCCCCCCCTCCCTAATTGAACACACTACACAGGAAGGTCCCCCAAGCCCCTCTTCCCCTACCTTAAGATGAGCTGCCCGTCCTCCTGGCCTGCTGTACAGACAGACAGACAGACACTCTGTGCTCTGTGCTCTTGTGGCCATGGGAGTTGAGGCCAGAATCAGACAGGAAATATCTTTCCCCAGGGCAGCCAGGCCACAAATATATTCATTGTGGGCTGCAAGTTTGACATGCTTGGTGTAAACCTTTATTGATTTATTGATTACTAAGGGTTTAAAAGTAAACATGATGGTGTAAATATACAGTGAATCCTTAAGGGCGATAATACTTTATCAAGACACTGCAGTAAGCAGTCACAGTAGCACAAATGGTAGCAGAAATAATCCACCACTCAATTATAATGTGAACAGTGTGCAAGGTCCATGGAGGTAAGAGGTGGTATCAGGAAAACATTAGTAAGAGCCACCGGTATATAGAGGGGAGGGGGTAAGGATGTGTGTATGCACCTCCTCTAAATGAGTTCTGAAAAGACCTATATAAAAAAGGCTCACAGATCACCCAGGAGCCAATAAGCCCCTTGAAATGGCGATGGCATAAGCAAATGTATCTAGCAGGTAGATGATGTCTCAATAGAGACTGTTGGGTTGCAAAAAGCCAGAAGGGTAGGAGAAACAACAATCCCCAAATCCCGCAATTAGCATGTTCTCCTTAGATACCTTGGCACCATAGAGAATGTACTAGTGCTTACCTAATCCGTCTGGCCCTTCTGTGGCTGAAGCCTTAGGGTAACATGATTCCCTCAAGGGGCTGTAATACACTATGAAAATAATGCATGGGATAGCAAAAACAAGCTACCATTAAATGATAGTATGAGCTAAATATAGGGTTTCAAGGGGTAAAGTAAGGTATCACGAGAGCCTTATAGGTAACAACTAAGCATACAGGTTCCTTGAGAAAGTCTTATTAGCCTTGGGGATTCACAGTCATTTTTACTTTTATACAGTTAGCTATCAATAAAGATTAGGGTTTCCCTCTCAACATTACTGTTTCTCCCATCTCAAGGTATCCCAGACTGGGACCTTGTTTGTTTTCCCTTTATGAGATTGTCTTACTTGAGTTATCCCCTGTTCTAGGGAGAACATTATGTAGGCGACCTTGGCAACATTGCACTAGATTATTTCCCCAGTTTAGGGATCAAAGGCCCCAATATTTTGTTATCCATTCTTTAGAGTAATTCTGTTTTATGTTTTTGTTGTTTGTTTTTGTTTTTTTACCCAAAGAAAAGCATGTGTATGTGTGTACTTGCAATGTAGGTTTTTGGCACCACAGCCAATAACATAAGCTGTTATGGTTAATGTTGCCTGAGATTTAAGGATAACTAAAGAACTCAAAACAAGCCAGAACAGCTCTTTGCAAATCAAGATAGGCACTAATTCAATGTAAATTCTTTATTTTTTGTGTGCAATTAAGAGTACATGTGCAAGACCACAATAGCCTCCATATGTCAGACATTATCATAAGCATTTTGCAAGATTCTAGTCACACATTTTTTCTAAGTACATTTGGTCTCAATATTATAATGAGGGAATTGAGGTGTAGAACTGGGTGAAAGGCACCCGTCTAAAGTGATCACCCTGAGTACTGTGGGGCCGTAGGTGGAGGGGGATGGGCGGTATCGGCTATGTCTGATAGCTGTTCTGTTTCCCAGTCGTGGCTCACTAGCTTATGGGTGTGCGATGTGCCTCGTGGCCTCGATGTGAGTGGACAGGGATTGTGTGGTGATAATTGCGGGATTATTTTGTGTTGCCCCCTATCGTGTCTAGGTCCCGTCTCCTGTCGCTTCTGATTGTGGTTATTGGTGTACTCCAGTGTGAGTGGTGTTCTGGGAGTCATAGGGTGCCGTTTAGTTATAGGAGTGGCTGCATGTTGCGCGTTGCGCTGGTCAAGTTTACTGCTATTAAAGGTTTGGGTATAGTTGTATGAAAGTCGCCATGTTGCATCCAGGTTAAACTGTGCCCGTTGGGCAAGAGGCTAGAAGTGTGTGGTATGTCGGTAGGCATGGTACCGGACTGGGTTACCTGTTTACTGGATCGGCGCTGCTGTCAGTTCCCTTTAACCCCGGGGGGGGGGAGGAGGTGGTGTCACTATGGCAGTATTCGTCAGCTCCCTTGGGCCTTTTTACCCGTTACAATAACCATTGGGGTTTGACAAACTGTATGTAAAGTTAGGAACAGTGTTAACATAAAATATTTAAACTATTTAAACTAAAGCCTATAAGACTGTATGCAGAGAGAGTTTGTTCAGGTTTTGGTGCCCCAGCTTGGTCCAGGTGTCACGTGTAGATCTGCGCCTGTTGTCCACGGCCGGTATTCTAGCCTTGTTGTTGGGGCCGCTGCAGGGTTCAGGAGTCCCAGGGCAGCCATCAGCGCTGGTCCCTCCGTGTGGTCAGTAGCTTTGTAGTGCTTGTCTTCTTTTGTGATCCAGAGTGTCCCTGGGGTCGACCCACTGTAGGCTATTCCTGCTTCTTGGAGTTGTTTGGTGATTGGGTGCATACTCTTGCGCCACATCAGTGTGGCCCTGCTTAGATCCTGAAAGAAGGATAGTTTGCTCTCTTCGAACTCGAATGGGGTTTTTCCTTGCATAGCTGCCATTAGTCCAAGTTTGTCAGACATATATTGGCATGTTAGTATTATGTCTCGTGGAGCTGAGGTGGGTGCCCGTGAGGATTTGGCTATCCTATAAACCCTGTCGAAATGGAAGGTTGCAGCTTGTTTGGCCAGGAGGAGTGCGGCCGCAAGGCGCCTGGTAAAGTGAGGTAGCTCCTCCAGCGGCACCTTCTCAGGTACCCCCCTAATCTTGATGTTTTTGCAGCGCCCTCTGTCGTCCAGTAGGTTGACTTGTCTAGACATTGCCACTTGTGTGGATTGTAGGTGGCACAGCTTCTCCCCCATTATTTGGTAATTCTCCCTCAGTCCCTTGACCTTCTCCTCAATCGCCTGGGTGCGTGAGGACACTGTGTTTACATCTAGCTTTAGGACTGCCAGATCTGCTTCCCACATTTGTCTCAAGTTCTGTTGCAGGCCTTGCCTGTATGTCTTGTTTTGAGGCCGGTGTAGTGGCTTCTGACCTCTCTGCTTGTGTGGGGTGTTGGGGACTGGGGTGTGGGCTGTCCTGCGGTTCCCCCACTTCTGAGGGCAGCGGAGATTTTTCGCGGGGGGGTCTGGGTCTTCCCTACGCTTGGGGCCCGTAACATTTGGCCTATGTCGCGCTGTGGTTTCGAGGTGCTTTGCGGTGTTTTTTGGGACCTGCGCCCCATCTCACCTGAGGTCAGTGCGCTGGGGTAACAGTCCTCCAGATCTGTGAGGTTCCAGGGCCAGTAGTCACCGGCTGTGGTCTGAGGCCTCACTCCCGCCCGGTAGGCCTCGCCGCCTCGGCATCTATTTTTGGAGCCGGACGTCGGAAAAAATGGCATCGGCTGTATCAGTGGGGTCTACTGGGCTCTGTGGCAGTTTGTGTGACCCAGGGTTAGTGTGGAATGTCTCAGATTGATGCGGATTGCGGTGATTTTTACCGGAGCTCCGAGATTGCACGACTGCTCCGGTCTGGTGTCAGGCTCCGCCCCCGGCACTAATTAAATTTAAATGGAAGCAGTTACAATGCTTAATTAATACACAGATATATTTTATTTTACTGGGCTTTTTAAATAACTGTTAGAAGGGTATTCTGCACACCATAACTACTGCTTAGTGTAGTGGTCTTGCTGTATAGAGTTTGTAAGGGTCATTCCACATTATTTTGTAAAACTGTTTGTTAGTGGTTTGACAAGAATCTAATGGAAAATGTACACAACTGCATATCTACGTCATTAGAATCAATTCTGTCTAAGCAGAACTGCATGTTTAGCTGAGAGCCCTGGGACCATTAATACACACAGTCCTGATTGAAGTCATCAAAGTCCTCTAGTAGCTGCTTACCAGGAAAAATCCATGAAGGCAAAAAATAACATCCGATTAATGTATTATGTTTGTCTTCCATTAAAAAAACGAATAATAGTGAGAACTGCCAATGTTACGAAAATAGCCTTTTTGCTGATGAAGATGAATCATAGACATCATTAACTCTGATTAGACAATTTAATAAGTAATAGACATTTCCTTTGACTAAGCATCATCAGCTAAGTAAATGGACCTTTAGTATCAGATGCTAATGCTGTCATTATTTTTGGATTTTTCCTTATAAATTACGTAATAGGGAACAAGCATATTTGGGAGTTGACTGCCGAACTAGATTCAAAGCTTTACGGGATGTAGGGTGGCTGTTCTTGGCTGAGACCACAGGAAACAGTATACCTTTAATATATGACTTTGTCCCTGACACCATCTCATGTGACGATTCAGTCATCACACCTCCATCACTTTAATATAGGGAAAGATATGGCAAAAGGCAGATCAAATCCCAATCAAAAATCATTTCTAAATATTATATATGTGGACGTCTTCATAGCCACATGAGGTTTGTTTGTGTTCCCATTCCAATAGGAGAAATCATTTCTAAAGTGTTATAAATGAAAGATGCTATTTAGCCGTATTGTCTTATTCTCGAAAGTTAATAATAATAATAATAATGCTGTATTTTGACTCTATTTATAGGTTTAAAGCTTTTTTTTTTTTTCATTCTTTTCTGTATCCTTAGAAGTGACTGTATCAAGAAAGGAGAACAGCAGGCAATGAGTTCAAAAATAGTTCTTCAACATAGCTGCTCTGGAACTGAATTATCTTCCAAATGGAAAATGAGCTTTGCTGGAGCCGGAATTCAAAGCTTGCGTTATTGTCACCTGTATCAAATTAGAACATAATGTTCTTGAATGAAGGTAATTAAAATAATTTGCAGTTCTCAAAGGAATCAAAGTGATGAATGTGGTACAGAATGCATGAAAGACAGACGCCTATAAAAAATATACAATGCACAAGGGAATGAGCACACATTCATATTATGCAAGCAATAATTTTTTAAAGCTATACAAAATCATCTAAAATGTATGTATTTCTCTATACTTTATGTTTAACAGGTTGGTAGGTCCAATCCTAACATACATGGGGGGCTCTTTTTATATGTTTAATATAACCAGGACATATTCTTGTAATCATGATAAATGTATTAAGTGCTTACAAATTCTGCAGTGTTTCATACATTAACAGCAAAATGAAACAAAAGAAATTGAAAAGATTATACACAGCACACAAGGGATACAGACATGCAATATTGATACATTCCACAAGCTATTATAAGATAGCTGATATAAACTGAAATCTGTTATTACTAATTACACAAACTCATAGCTAGATGCACTGCTATAGTGACCAAGCCCATAGGAGATACAGATCGCTGCTAAAAGCCTAATTCTTCTTTTAGTCCCTAAAATATGAATTCCTCTCATAAGTCTAAGCAGAAAGTTTGGTGGGGAGAAAGTTCCATATTTAAAAGTATAATTTTCCAATATGTAATAGAATCATTGGTATCAAATTGTGACAACCTACCAGTTGATTTGCTTGGAGAGGCACTCTCGGGTCCTGTTACTCCTTTGTTTAGCTCAGCTGAGCTAAAATCAAGAGGCAGCAATTTGCCATAGCACCTGCCTTGGAAAGACTTCTCATTGAGCTGCATTGGCAAGTCTGTGATTGGACAGCCACATAAAGGCTAGAAGGGGAGGGCCTGTAAAGACTTCAGACAAGATAACTGCAGCTTTTGTAAGCTGTTTTAGATATATCCACATTAAAAAATAGTAAAATTAAATGCATGCATGTTTTCATTTAGGGTATATCTACCAAACAGTGATTTTTATTTATGTTGTATTTGGGAAGTGGAAAAACTTTTTTTTTTTTTGTTTTGTTTCATCAAATATTAATAAATTATGTAAAAAAATTGTAGGTAAAATACAAATTGAAGCTTTTCAGTGTCATTCAGTAAAGTTTGAATACCAAAGGGTACAAAACAATCTGGCTGCATATGGTGCCATTTGGAGGGCAAAATCCAGTCTAAATTTGGTTTTGATTTTAGCCTGGCATAATGCCACTGGACTTCTGAAATCCGGACCCGAATGTTTCAAATCTTTAAAAAAAATCCAAACGGGAGTGTGGCAAACAGAAGAGCTATACAGACGCGCGTTAGTGAAGTTACACTTGGGCCTCACAATACAACAAGCATGGCGTCAAATTAAACAGTCCACAATTACTTGCACCCCCAAGAGACACGATGGGGCACAGAAATAAAAAAAAACATCAGCACCCAGAAGCACATTGGGCTCAAGATATTAGGTTTTCCTTTGAAAAACCTACACTGATGGTCCCTCCAAAAATGGCACCCAGGGCCCCAGCTGAATCAGAGGCCTCCAAGGACTCCAAGGAAAAAGAGAGATCCCGTGTCCGGGGAACATATAATGTGATGGCTACACACTACATGATTTACGCTAACATCCAATTTGTGGTACTGGCTTAGAGAGGAAACCCCAGAAGCTAGATGGCTACGAGAGGGCACCATTAAATACCACTCGGGAGTGGTTGTCAGGCGACAATTGGGGATGACATTCTCACTCTAACCTCACCAAATGACACAGTGTTTGTTCTGAAGAGTTTGGGCCTACCAACCTCACCACTGACAGAGGCACTCTCCCGCACTTTCCCACAGAATACCAGCAACACCAACACACAAAAGGCATTGTTGCTGACCACATCCACATGGAACACTTGCCACTGGTTATCAGAGGCGGCTCTCTAATCAGGTGGTTTAGGTGGCCGCCTAAGGCCTCGCGCTGGCTGGGGCCTCACGGCCGCCTAAACCACCTGAGGGCAGACTCACTGACCGAGGACCCGACACCAGGAGGGGACCTGGCGGCTTACCCAGTAGGCCCCTACTGGCTGCCCGGCCAGCCATCAGACACTGGTCTGCAGCTCCACAGTGAGCAGAGCTGCAGACCATGTGTTTCGCCGAGAACTGGCCAATCACAGCGTTGCTCTGATGGTCTTGTGAGATACATGGTCTGCAGCTCTGCGGAGATGCAGACCAGAAGTAATGGCCACCGGACCACCAGGGAATAAAGGGTATGTTGTCTCCCCCCTCTGTGCATCAATATTTATATGCATGTATTTTTTTTCACTTTTTTGTTAGTGGGGCCTCATGTTTGAGTTTCGCCTAAGGCCTC